GTTTAAGTTGTGTTGTGCTACCATTTTAATAAAAAACAGAGATTGTAATTGTTGAAGAAATCCAGGGACCATTTTTTGTTATGGGCCACAACAACAATATGCGTCAGGGTTGAATTGAGATAAATCGTCATAACTAAGGGGTTCTTTTTGTATAATAATTTATTTGAAGGGCTTAATTTCAAATTAGTTTTAGATTTCACGACCACAGAAATGTTGCTTCGCTTTTAGGCCGTTAAGTTTTTACTCGCCGTGTAACCCATTCCTCCCGCTACCAGAAAACGACGTCGCGGCGGAAGCAATGGCCAGAGTCGCCTTTGCCTCATCGCCGCCGCTAATCTCAGTTCGTACTCTCCGTCAACGTTTCTCAGTTTTCGCCGCCGTGAATCCCGAAATGCCTCTTCACCACAGCTCTCTCGAAGTTCTCGGCGGAGGAACCGATCGTTTCTTACCGGCTCTAAAGGAATCACTCGCTAAACCCTACGATGCGTTTCCTCTAATCGGATTTAACCGCCACGTGGAGACAATCTACGCCGCTTTCTTCCGCTCTGTACCTTCCGTCAGACTCCGCCGCGAATGTCTCCGGACGAAAGACGACGGTTCTGTTGCTCTCGATTGGGTCGCCGGAGACGATGGTTACCTTCCTCCTGAATCTCCGATCCTAATCTTGTTGGTACATTCTCGAAACCCACGAAGTTGATTTTGTTAATCGAGTCAGAAAGTTTGAGTCTTTTTGAATTCGCAGCCAGGTTTAACCGGAGGAAGCCAAGATTCGTATGTGAGACATATGTTGTTAAGAGCACGAAGTAAGAACTGGCGTTGTGTTGTGTTCAATAGCCGAGGATGTGGAGATAGTCCTGTTACTACTCCTCAGGTCTTTTGTTAACTATATTTCATGATGATAGTTCCCAATTAGCTTCATTTTGTTAGACTGAAGTATGTATGATACTGATAAATGCAGTTCTACTCGGCTTCGTTTTTAGGAGACATTAGTGAAGTGATTGCTCATGTTGGTGATAGATTCCCAAATGCTAATTTGTATGCAGCTGGATGGTCTCTTGGAGGCAACATTCTTGTTAACTATTTGGGTCAGGTTAGCTTTTAACCCCCATTAGTCTTGAAAATCCTATGTACATGGCGGTTGCTGGTTATAAACTGATTTGCTCTGTTGCAGGAGTCTTGTAACTGCCCTCTTTCTGCTGCTGTTTCGTTGTGTAATCCTTTCGATTTGGTCATAGCGGATGAAGATTTTCACAAGGGTTTTAACAATGTTTATGACAAGGCATTGTCGAGATCTCTTTGTAGAATATTTAGCAAGTAAATTGTTCGGTTTCCCACCACTATCTTTTCTTCTTGTCAGTTAAGTCTTTTTCACATATAGTTTCATCTCTATGTAGACATTCTCTTCTATTTGAAGATATAGGAGGTGAATTTAACATTCACATGGCTGCAAATGCTGAGACGGTTAGGGATTTTGATGAAGGCTTAACTCGGGGTTAGTTTCCTTGATACTTTGATTAGATGAAATGGAATCTTGAGATAACATTTGAGAGCACGCGCAGCTGAAACCATTTTTTGTTTTATGTTTTTCATGTTACAGTCTCATTCGGTTTCAAAACAGTGGATGAGTACTATTCCAAGTCGAGCAGCTCCAAATGTATAAAACATGTTCGTACACCCTTGCTTTGCATTCAGGTAAATCCATAAACAATGAGTGATGAATCCCTAACCTTAGAGTGCTAGTTTCTCCATATGTTCATGTGTTGTATTATATGAAATGCAGGCAGCGAATGACCCGATTGCTCCTGATAGAGGGATCCCTCGCGATGATATCAAGGTAAGAGACGAATGATCGAAGGCTCTTCTTCATTCACATGCAAATGATGATTTTGGGTCTATCTAACAATAAAAAGTGTCAGGCAAACCCAAACTGCATGTTGATAGTAACACCAAGAGGAGGGCACTTGGGGTGGGTGGCAGGATCAGAAGCTCCAAGCGGAGCTCCTTGGACTGACCCGGTGGTTATGGAGTTTCTGCAGCATGTAGAGAGTTGTGTAACCATTAATGGAGAGAGATTCTTGGAGGATGTTCATCAAATTCAAGTATAGTTATGTTGAATAGTATGTTACGCTCATTCAATGTTGATGTGAACAAGAATTATAATAAACCCAAAGAATCATAGTATGAGAAATCTTGAATTTCCCAAAACGGATAATACTATCAAGTTAATGTTAAGTGA